TTCTTATTTCGTCGATTGCGGTCCCTGCGCCTTTTCTTCTTCGGTTCTCTGACCGGCATTACTTCAGCGTCTTGTACGGGTACCTCTAGTAGTTCTGCCGCCTCAGGTTTCCTGTGCACTGAACCCGGCTTTTCATCTTCTGGACATGCCACCGTTTCTTGGTAGGCCATCGTCACTCCGACCAGTATAACAATGGGGACCACTTCTTGTTGTGCCGTCGCAGGTTTTATGTCCGCTGTGGCCGGCTTTTCCTCTTCTAGACGTACCTCCGTCATCTCTTTCTGCCAAGCATCCATATTGGTTTGCAACCTCTTCTCTCGCATGGCGGCCATCCTTTCTTGGATGGCTCTTGTTTCTGCTCGGGTGGCTTCAGTTTCTGCGACCATCTTTTCTCGCATGGCGGCCATCTGTTCTCGCCAGGCTTTTCTATCAGCCTCTGCCTTCGCCAGCATTTCGATTATTAGTTGAAAGCCCTGCTCCTCCATTTTGTAGCAGTCAAATACTCGATACACAATAATCCAATTATTTGTCAGGCGTGTTTAAGTTCGTAAAAATTCTGACACCAAATTGTCACGTGTCTTGAGATCGAATCTCGTCGGTCACGTGTGTAAGTTCAAATCCCACTTCTGACACCAGTGTAACGTGTTTCGTTACAGAATACGCCGTAGAGATCGTTAATTGGTTTATTGAACAATCTACAAATATCGGCGACAAATAATTATCACAATGTTACGGGTTTCCACACTTTACATACCCTACAACAAAATCTCTTATCACTATCTTCAAGAGTCTTCACGTATTAATAACGCGGGAGCTATACAAGTCTCCCTGAATTACACACTTCAGAGATGACTGGTTATCACTGGTTATCGCACACGTGTCTGTAGCTCGTAACTTGCGAACTGAGAACTCGTTGATAACGCATTGACTCTCGCTTGCTGCTCAGCCGGCTTTTATTCCGTTCGCTGTTGCTAGTGTGACGTGGCGTATAGCCTAGGACGCTGTTACCCCTTTGTGACGTCACCGCTGTTCACTAGCTTTGCATAGCTTCAAGGTTGCGGGGACTCGGCTAACGTCAGCTCCGCTCGGCTCACTTCAGCTCCGCTCGTGACGTCACCGCGGGGAGAGTTTCGGGGTGATTACTCGCCTATTACGCGAGTGCTACGTTACCGCTATGTGCAGCTGGGGAGGTAGGGGTCAACATGTCACAATATATATATATAAACCTTAATGTAATGGCTATATAAATGAAAATACAGATATATGAACTCTGATAATTGGTCTTTGAAAGACTTTTTGTCTCACAATTTTATAATGACATGGTTGAGATACTGAATTTTAAAGAGGGGGGGGGGCAACAATCAATATTAAACACTGTTGTCGCAAATTTAAATGACTGGGGACTTTTGATATCCCAATGTGAGAGGTATGACAAAGAATATACACACTTAACTGGTTAACAAAGTTTCATATGTTATGAACACTAATTCCTTAACACTGTGTGGACTGATCGCATGATATCATGATTTTAGGACACGTTAGGTTGCTCTGTTGCCATGCAGCTGCATGACTACTGCCTAATAAAACTCCTGAATGTTTGCTTAGTATTCGGTAACATTACCTCGCTGTTATCTTAACCCATTCCAAAGGAAAATGCCTTTTGTCGGTCTTCAAGCTGTATGTACCAGCCAGTAAGTTAGTAGTGGAATATGCATCAAGGATGAATTCTCCTCTGATGAGCCAGCTTATGTGCCTTGTGAGACATGTAGTGATGGTGACTCAGACAGTGGCAGTGGCAGTGACAGGGGACAACAAAGAATTGTGGTCACAGAGAGTAAAAGTGACAGTAGCTCCGATGAAAATGCGGGTAGGACCATTGCGGGGACAGCAAAAAATCCCCCTCTCCCCCCCAAAAATACAAAAATCTAAACCCTGATTCAAAACTGAAATACAGAGCATTTCTGATGAATGTGACAAAGGCCTGGGCTGCAGAACCAGAGTCAGACACAGACTTAGCACGACTGGGCCCATCAACTCCCACCCCACGCAGGCCTCATGTGGACCCCCCAGGGTGACTCGAGTGATATGTGGAAACATACCCTCGTGAAAACTGTGAAACGTGAACATTCCAAGGGGAAGAATACTTCTAGGCAATGCAGTGTTTGCACAGTTCACAAAAAAGGAGTATGACTGTCTACACTGCAAGTTCTGTGTAATGCCATTTCACAAAGGGGGATGTTTCCAGAAATATCACACTCTCAAGCACTTCTGGGAGCACTGGTAAGTGTTCTCCAAAAATTCTAGTTCATAAAATTAATTAGATTTTATATTAATCTTTAAAGTGAACAGTGCACAAGTCAGTAGGTCTAATAACGCCGGTCCCCAGGGTGATTTCACTATTTAAATCGCCGGTCTGTGAAGCGTTAACAGCACTCAGGGCCCTACATTTAGCGGAGCTAGATCCACTCCCACTTCACAGATGTGTGCATCCACTGTGTATTATTACTGCTTGTAGGAAATTACTGGTAAGTATGGTGGTAGGGTGGTGTCAAATGATACAATGTTCAAACCAAATTTTGTGAAACTCAGTCAGCTATTTCAAACGCTGAATGGAGGTAACACACAGAGTATGGTAACTCACAAATGTACTTTAGTTTCTCAAGACCAGAGAGTAAGCTACACAAGATGTGAACAGTACTCACCTGGTTCGAGGTCTAGAATCATGTCCAGAGCCTGTCGATAATGTGGCACTTGTTCGTTTAAGCCTGTCAGGTTAAATTTATCTTGAATGTAGTCTTCATCAACCTATTGACCATAAATCACACATTCAATACAATCTATGAGACCTGAGGTTCTCAAGATAGTGTATATCAACACTACGGTCTTTTGGGATGTGATGGCATCAAACCCGCAAGGCTGTTAGTCTAATAAAATACAATCTGTGTGTGTAGCAAATACACTTGGACACTTGATCATTGCTCATTGCTATGAAGCAGGTACATCTATCCCTGTTAGCAGGATGTGGAGGCCCATAGGGTTGTGAGACAATGAGGCTCCCACATTTTCTAGACAGTTGGCTCACACGTGGCGGTTAGGCTGTCATCCTTACGTGCCAGCTGGCTGCCCTTTACCCCCAGTAAGATTCTTGGCACTCATAATCTGTTAGAGGCTGAGTCAACCCCAGGGCCATAGTGTGGCCGGAAGGATTAAGTCAATTGAAAAATCCAATGACCTCATCAGGAATCAAACCTGCAACCTTCTGGCCTGTAGTACAGTGCAACAAACTATGCTATCAAATGCCCCCTCTTTAAGAAGCTATAATATAAATATATCAAATATGATATAATTCCAGAGATGCTCCAAAATTTGAAAGCCAAATTTATTAAAGAGTACTGTGATTAGTTACTATAGGATTCTGACGATGGTGTATAACACACAGAGATATTGGGTTTTCGGACTTTATCCATCGTCCTGGTTTTAAGATAACTAAGAAAAACACGACATTTCGGAAACTGGATCTGTTTCCATCCTCAGGTAAGGGAAAACACCTATTCTGTTGGGTCCCTTAGAAAGAGCTGGCCTCAATCACTGGACCATTGATTTCTAAGGGTTCAACAGAATAGGTGTTTTCCCTCACCTGAGGACGGAAACAGATCCAGTTTCCGAAACGTCATGTTTTTCTTAGTTATCTTAAAACCAGGACGATGGATAAAGTCCGAAAACCCAATACCTCTGAGTACTATGATGTGTAGCAGTCGATCCAGTCATCCATGCCCTTTTCCTGTTCAAATGACATGTGACAAAACCTGGCAAATACAAAGCTAAGTCTTGCGTTTAATTTTGGTGGGTTATTTTATGACGCTGTTAGAATCTAAACTATGCAGTGTCAAATGGTATGATGAATGATGAAATGGAAAGGATATGGAGAAAAGCTGTCACTGCTTAATTGAGGTATTATCCTAGTATTTTACAGAAGGGGCTTGGTGAGAAACACTACAAAAAAATCCATTAGAATAGCAAGTGTTTAGCCAAGATTTGAACTGAGCACCTCCAAAATGTGTTTCACGCATTATCACTATACTCACCACCTCAGTGCTTAGTTTTAAGCTTGCGCTGCTGTTCCTTCTGAATATTTCTGCAAGGGGACTAGGCTGACTGCTTGAACCACAGTACCATGAATAATTCTTTTTAGCATGTTTCAACATCCTTGTGTAGCAACCAAATTATATCATATATCTGACGAAGGCTGTGCAATGCCAAAATATACTGTGAATAAATAAGTGGGAATAATGTGACAGTGCGGATGGTCATGGTAGCCGAGCAGTCTAAGGCATGTACTGTCTTTGCTTGCTTGGAAACCGTGATTGTGGGTTCGAATACCACTCAGGGCATGGATGTTTAGTTTGTGTGTGTGTGTGTGTGTGTACAGGCAGAGGCCTTGCGATGAGCTGATCACACGCCCAAGGAGTCCTACCGAATGTGTAAGATCTAGAAAAACCGAAGTGAACGGAGAAGTTCATGGAGGCAGGCCTAGGCCCACTGGGCCTGTAGTGTCGGGGGGGGGGAGTGATAGCACAGGACATTCACAAAACTGTGGAATGTTAATCTGAATCTACTAGCTTTAATCTGTCACAGCAGCTGTCACAAAATCTTTACGTACAACTATCACAGTGGTGACTATGAGCAGTATTTTCTGTTGGGATGTTATGCTGAGTCTACTGATATGTCAGTTGAATACACAGCCTACATCTGCTTGCTTGGCTTACTCTTCAACCCTGAAAATGGAGGCAGTACATTCCTCTGAAACAATTGTAAACTCCTGCCAGACCACATGATATAACGTTCCAACAGACATCACTCTTTATATATATATATATATATATATGTAGAGCCACTGCAGGAATAGCTCTTCACCATTCACAAGTGAGTATCTGTAGCAATACAAAACAGTGGATAGTGATGCATCACACACTTCTATTGAAGTAACTGATATTGCCACTAAGGATCAAGTAACATGAGATTATCAAGACAGTATATGTAAATTTTTGACTGAAAATGGATACAAAGTAACCCATGAAGATCCTAAAGATGTGGACTCTTGACATACAGCTGCCTCTGTCAGTGTTTCAGTAAATATTTTTCAAGTGATTAAGACCAGGCCTGCACAAATTTCCTATAAATCCAACAGCCACCTCCAACAGCTAGTCACCAGAATAAAGAAACAAAACACCTTGGATGAGAAATTTGCTCATTTCTGTTAACAAAGGACAACTGAAACATAAGGGGGCTGGCCACAAATCATTTGTCTGTTCAGGTAGAAGTTCTATGCACAATTCATAACCTAACATTACAATTTCTCTTCAGTTTGATTTGAATAAATTGTGGAACAGCTACAGTGAAGTGATCTTATGCCTTATGTGCCAGCCCACACATAAATTCTGAACCCAGTATTAGTACTGTTACTTTATTTGGCCTGAGTGATAAGCAGTCATGATTCATTCCTGTTTCCTGTGTTGAAATGCCACATGCGAATCACACATCAGACAGGGTTATTAAGAGGGGGAGGGGGAAAGAAGGTAAATTATCAATGAGACAATGTTTGAAAGTAGCAATACATTTAAATACTCTCCTTCAAAATCTCTCAGATTTCTTGCAAAGGTGATTGGGGTTTCAAAATAATCAGCACAAACTGCCACAAAACTCTGTGACCATATAACATAACAGTGATGCATAGACTGCAACCATGTGATCATGCAGACAGTGAGATTTTGTAACTGGTTCATTTAATCTGTTCATGATAGTAAAATTGATCCTCATCTGACAAAAACTTGATTTCATTTACATGGTGAAGTGAATTAAGACAGCAGCACATACTGGGGTCTGAACAATCTGAGACTACTACTACTACTACTAATAATAATATGTTCCACAATATGATTATGAAATTGGTGTACTGCCCGAGTACACGCAGAATAACTGAAACAATTATCTTGAAGGACGAAATTAATTAATTCTGACAGATATTCCACCCGTTCAGAGGATAACAGATGAAAAGCCTGTATGCATTCTTCAAACAAGAATCTTCCACCACTCACACAGCTAGGGCATCCATGGGTGCTTTGAGGGAAGTGTTCAGGAAGAGAAGAAATAGTTCTTTGTGGCCAGCATGCCTCTCCCAGAACTCTTGCGACTTCTAATTATGCAAAGCCATAAACAAAGTGTTCACAGATCAAACACTCACACACAGCTGAAGATCTGAAGGGAAATGCCCAAAAGGGGAATTCCGTCTTCCCAAGAACTTCAGTGTGTTAATACACTTTTTGTAGAAGGCACAGGAATATGACAATCTTTTGGTGGGACTGATAAAAACATAATTAAAAGGTAAAGTTGCCCCTGTGCTTAACTAACTAAGCACTACGCCATGAAAGTGTATGGGAGAGTGGATGTATAGATCCACATTTACTTGACCTCGGCACTGGCTGGAGGTGAGCGGTCACCTTTACAACCCTGATGCCTTACCCCCAGGGAAAGATCCCCATGTACCAAGTGGATAAGAGGTTGCATGGACCGCAAAGCCAGTCTGGACGATGTGGAGAAGAGAAAATTCTTGATCCTACCAGGACTCGAACTTCGACTCCTTGGTCGTCCAGCCTGTAGCTAGTTGCTATACTGACTACATTATCCTGGTTCCTGACAAAAATGTAATTATGATCTAAGAAATCATGAAATATGTAAAACTGGTAATAACAAAATAATATTCCATCATATACCATTCCTATATTGTCACACTGATGGTAACTGTGCACACATACTAGAATATATACAGTGAGAACATCTGAAGGCCCGCCGCAAACCATCCAGCCACTTGGGCAGAAGAGCCAAATGCTATTCAGATCAGCTCACCCTAAAACATCAGGACTAGTGGAGTGATTGGGAAACCCCACAACCTATACATTCCACATTACAGACACTCCATGTTCCCTCCTCTGTTCCAAATGCATTTCTGGCACCTTCATAAAATGACAATTTCAGTATATTGTAGTTCCTTTTCAGAAACACAGTAAACTAGAAACTTGAAACCTAAACTTTATACTGTGGTTTCTTGTTCAAGACATTCAAAAGACTTTCAAGGAAAATGCTCAAGACTAGAACCAATTTCATCCAGCTTCCCGGCATTCTGAGTTGGTTCTTCCTTCATCCAGTAATTACCCTGTTTGTCTTAATTTTAGGGTGATAAAACTGACTAGTAATTATCGGGGAATATCACTGCTATCAACTTCATACAAAATTTTATTCAATATCCATCTCTCACGGTTAAGACCATATATGGACGACATTATTGGGGATCATCAGCATGGGTTTTGACATAACGGATCAACTGGTGACCAGATTTTTGCATTTGTCAGATACTGGAGAAAAAAATGGGAGTACAATGAGAGAGTACATTAGCTATTCATAGACTTCAAGGAAGCCCATGATTCAGTTAGGAGCAAAGTATTGTACAATATTCTGATAGAGTTTGGGGTACCCATGAAACTAGTTAGGCTGATTAAAATTTGTTTAAATAAAATCTGTAGTTAAGTCCTTGTGGATAAATACCTGTCTGATGTGTTTCCTCTCCAGAATGGTCTAAGAAAACCAAGTGGGAATGAAATTAAATTGGACACATCAGCTGCTGGTGTATGCGGATGATGTGAAGCTATTGGGAGGTAACATAGATACCATCAAGAGAAACACAGAAACTTTAATTGGCACTACTAAGGAAGTTGGTCCAGAAGAAATTACAGTGGAAACAAAGTATATGTCAATGTTGATGGCTAACAAATCCTTTGAAAATGTGGCACAGTTCAAATATTTGGGAACAACAGTAACAAATAAAAACCTGATTCATGAGGAAATTAAGAGGAGATTAAAGTTGAGTAATGTCTGCTACCATTCAGTTCAGAACCTTTTGCCTTCTTGTCTGCTATCTAAAAACTAAAAATTAGAATATACAAAACTATATTTTCCTTGTAGTTTTGAAATGAGATGATATGAGGTTGGAGAGAACTCTATAATGAGGAGCTTCATAACTTGCATTGTTCACCGAGTATGATTAGAATGATCAAGTCAAGGACGAAGAGACAGGCAGGGCATGTAGCACATATGGGGAGAAAAGGAATGCATATAAGATTTCGGCCAGAAGGAAAGAGATCACTAGGAAGAGGTAGACATACATAGGAGGATAATAATAGGTTGGGTCTCAGACAATTAGGATGGGGTGGTATGGATTGGATCGATCTGGCTCAGGATAGGGACCAATGAAGGGTTCCTATGAAAACAGTAATGAATCTGTGGGTTCCCTAAAATGCTGGGAAATTCTTGAGGAGCTAAACAATTGGAGGTTTCTCAATAAGGGCACAGCCCCATGGAGTTATTTAGTTAGTCTAATGGGTGTCAAGAACCTCCAAGTCTGGAAGTTGTAGGTCAAGGTAAGCCTGTATTTAACACCACTAATCATCTATTAATAAATCTGGTTATTATTTATGGGTTCACAGCTTTAGAGATGCTGCTCCAACACAGGTAACACCTGTCACTGAATTCAGACACTATTTAGTTCATGACCAAGCATACTCCACAGTAATTTGTTGGAGCTATCTGGTCACATGAAGAGTCAGCATAAATTGAAACTGAACAGGTACATAATGAACTTACTTCACAGAAGAACTCATTTCCTCGAAGGCCGCAAAACCAGGAAATCCACGACACCTCCTCAGAACTGCTCATTTTCCTGAAATCAAAATATTTATTCCACTATGCAAATCTAATTAACTGTAATATATACTGGATCTGACTTCAATTTATGTCACCTATTTGGCAAACGTTAAAATAATTTTAGAATAACAATTTCCATAATTTATCATTTAACGTACATTTCCAACACACTGCATCAATTCCTCACGTAAATTAAACATTTTATTGATTAAAATTATCCACACAAACATGCTCACATATCACAAAAGCAGATTTTCTGACAGTTCATACAGTATAGTAACTAGGCTATGGTTTGGGCAACCAAGGAACCCGGGAAGATTTCTCTCATTTTTACGGTGTCCAAACCACTTCTTGGGCCCAGGGCTTCTAGTCTGACGTGTCTTTGGAGCTCTTCCCCTGGGGGTAAGGTGGCAGGGGCCTTTAGCTGACCACACACTTCAATTGATGTTAAGAATGTATGGAGCTACACCTCCCTTACCCATAGGTCTTCATGGGTGTGGTGCTTAATTAACCTTTGATATACGTAAGTAGCATACATGGAGCAATATTACAGAAGTAATGCATATTGTGGTGGGGGGGGGGCAGGGAAAAACTTAATGTTTAAGAAGTCACTGCTTGGGACAGCGCAGTGGGTATAGTGACTGGATACAGGCTGGCTGACCAAGGGGTCAGAGTTCTAGTTCCTGTAGGGTTAAGAATTTTCTCCACATTATTCAGACCAATGGGTACTGGGGGCTCTTTCCCTGGAGGTAAAAAGTGGCAGGGGCGTGAAGCTGACCACTCTCCTCCAGCTGGTGCCAAGGTCAAGAAAATGTGGATCTATACAACCACTCCCCCACACGTCTTCATGGTGAAGTGCTTAATTAGTTAAGCACAGGGTCAACTTTACCTTTACTGCTCCATGTCTACTTGAATATTATCCATCAGTCTCTCAGTGTTCAAGACAGATGCTCTTGTAGTGGCTTTCATGCTGAACTCTGAATATATTTCTTGTTCCCACCATCCAACTGGCACGTCTATCATTACTGTATCTATTCCACTCTGTTCTCTCAGATCCATACGGTTTTCACATTTCTTTATAAAGATACAAGCACTTCAGGTTAACCTTACAATTTTATTTGGAAGTGCTTGGTTCATATTTCAGTCCAGTGACCTGCTATCTGACAGGTTTCCATGGGTTTCTTCACTATCTACAAGTGCTAGGATAGTACCTTAAATTACACAACCAATTCCTTCCACACTCTTCCTGATTCATTATTCACTAATCACCATACCATTCAATACTATATTGTCTGAGTTATGCTCTATCTATGGCTCTACACCCCTTTGTTGGGCTTTGGCCGCTTTTTCAGTTTCTTGATCTTTTACAGAATCAGTAGGAATCCTCAGACAGGGGATCAGCCCATTGCAAGGCTGCTACCTGTACACAGGGCAGCACAAACACACAGTAAACGCACACAGATATCCAAGCTTCAAGTTTGATTCGAACCCATGATCCCAATTTGAGCAGGCGAAGACCACATGGGCACTGTGATCAGCTGAGCTAATGACAGCACTGATAAATAAACCACAAATAGATAGATACCTTCACAATCTTCGGTGTTTCAGAAGGTTGAGGAGGCAATGAAAAATTTTTCATACAAAATAACTAACAATACCAGGCCTTATTCCTTTTTAACTTCAGTATGAACATGATGCATATTTTGCTAACGGTTTTCGTGATTATTAAAATTTTTAGGCATCACACGAATTTATAGGTTGCAGAAATACTATTCCACTGCTAATTTTAGTTTTTGTGACATGATAATGTATTTGGTTTTATCTATATTTACTTGTAAAAGTAACATTCAAGGTTACTAGTATATAAAGGAATTCCCAGTGAATTTATATTTCCACCTTTAAATTAACATCACCAAAAAAGTAACCAATGCTGGCCATTCCAGTGCAGCTCCCTTATTCTAATGAACTATACTGATATTCTAGATACAGACAGTATTTGTTTAAAATGACAGCAGAACAGCATTGCAATTAAAATTTGATTAGTAAAAATATGTGGCAAATATGCTTTGATATAACACAATACAATGTTGTTTATGAATTAGCAATGATGGAAGCGTGTGTGGATCTTATTGATTACTGAAGCTTCTGAATATTTAACATCAGAGCAATGTTAGTAACACAGGTAAGAAAGTAAAATTATTTTATACAAAGATAAAAACAAACTTGGTATATTTAATATTCTGGTTCAACTAACTGCTGGACTATCAAGAGAAGTAATAAATGTCTGCTTTCCTTCACAGCACTTTAGTACCAAGCTGAGTACCTCAATAAATAACTACATACCTCTACAACCTGATTGATCAGTTTGGTTTTATTTCACTAGCTCCAGGTTTCCCTCAGGGACGTATGAGACACGAAGGCGATACTGTTAAATATCACAGCAGAACTGCTAACGGCCCATCAACATCGGGTAAATTGCAATTTAGGTTATGTGAAAGAATTTAACAATTCAGTCTTATTACTTTTACCCTCATGTAGAAACAGTGGCCATAAATATGATATAATTTCGTAAAAATGTTATATCGATAATGCTATGAACAAATAAACTGAAATTTTGTACCTAAAGAAATGTTGTTAGGCTAGGCCGACGGCCAAACATAATGACGATATATATTCTAACGAGTTTTATACGACATTTTATATTAACGACAAAGAAACAAATTATTGTTATACGCATGTTACTCGTTTTACAGTAAACATACTACGGTTCTCCACAGAAGTTATACACTTTATGTAACAACGTGAATTTCTTACCTCTTCCTAGGATTAGCCACGCTTAACGTTCCTCCAAAAAGAACTAGTTACAGTGCCATCTGCGAATAAAACCAGCGAATTTGTAAAGCTTTTGTTGTTATCTAAACCAGAAATTTCATGCTGTCGTAGTTGTGGAGGAATATTTTCCATGGGTCGCGACGGCTTGTAATTTTGTAATGTTGTACATCGTTAACGTTTCGGAGGTACATACTGCCTCCATCTTCAGGGTAAAACTAGTATTGTACATCGAAGGAGGCAGATTCTTTCGAAACATGATAGCGGCCTACTGACGCTAGTGACTATATGATGCATCTAAGGAGACAGGAAATCTTTATAGTCACGAGAACCCCGGCTTTTGAGTTTCTGAATTAATTGTGTTTAGGTGGATATAAATCAGATTATTAGGTGGAGAATAAGTATCCACAAGGGAATATAAAAGTCATTAATGCACATTTCTTTTGTAATATGTAAGTTACAAATGGATATACGTGTAGAATTTAAACAAATAAGAGTACTGATTTGAAAAATCCTTTAATTTCTCAACATAATTTCCCTGCACATTGAGACACTTGTCCCATCATTTCACAAGCCCCCAAAAACCAGCATCATAAAATTCTTTGGGCTGCTGTCGAAACCAGGCGGTGACTTCCCTTTCTGCAGCTTTCTACAGCATCATTTTCTTGGAGGATGGTGTTGCCTTAAACTTTTTTTTGGTAGGTGACGCAGGATGTTTCCACTGCACTGACACACGCTTTGTTTCGCACTGGTAATGGTGAACCCAAGATTCATCACCTGTGACAATTCGGACTAGCATATTGTGTCCTTCATCATGGTAGCGACTGAGATGCTGTAATGCCAAACCCACTCTTTGCATTTTCTGTTGTGGGGTCAGCATGTGCGCACAGACTTTGTGAAAACCTAATCTCTCATGCATTATGAGATAGGTCGTGCTGTGTGAACATGCCTGGTTCTGACAGCAGCCCAAAGAATCTCACATCATATCTTTTCATTTGGGTTTAGACCCAAAGAGAATCCATACGTATGACATATCAGAAAAGCACCCACGGTACAAACGTGCAACTGACGTTGCATCTCCCTAAAATGTTCGCATGGTTCCTTTTAAAAACAGACAAAACTTGAAAGCTGAAGTCGAAGGAAAGTGTTCAAACTCAGTTTCAATATGACCTTCCTATAAGTTGTTGTGGGAAGCTGGTAGCTGAGGCTTGGGACAGTTTGTGAACTCAGAGCAAGGGGAACTTCTGCCATTGGAAGGTGCTACCAAGCAATGGATAGTGAAGACTGTAACAGACTGAGAAGAGTTAAGTGTGTCCTGTAGTGATTTGTGTTTAACAGTGAGAGCATAATCCTCACTTGTATTACTGAGGTGTAAGAGTTCAATAAAACCAATTACCGATCCAAACCCCATCTACAGTTACTCATACAGGTGACTATATTAATTC